GTTCGAACCAGACTTTCTCCTTTTCTCTTTCTCTCTTTCTTCCACCTTTCTACCTCTTTCTACATAACCGATCTCAGACAAATAGAACTCCAAGGCAGGCCGAATCATAACAGAAAGATACGCGACTCAACTAGATACAAAACGAGAAATGCACTACAATCAAATCTTAAACATCATCTGACACAATTTGAAGTGTAGCTCAAAAATCATATCTGAATGAACCCCTGATAAGTCTTCAACTTTGTGGTGCATGAACAAACAATCTACTTCCATTAAGCATATATAATTATATAAATCACTAACATTTTGTTGTGATGTTTTCCTTCAAAAAATTTCCTATTTCTTTAATTTCAAATACCACAGAAGAATTCAAAGACAATGGTACAACACAAAATTTTGATCTCTTTCCACCATTGGAAGATAACCGTGGAGAAAATAATCTCATAAGGATGCATAGGACAGAATTTTGGATGCTTAAAGAGATCAAAGACCACCTTGTGCTGAGTAAGTTCCTAAGGTCTTCCTCAGATCTATTACACATTACAACAACCATTCAAAAGGTTCCACTCTTCGAGGTGTACCATTAACTCCTTTAATTTGAGACTGCCTAACCTGGTTTCTAAATTCTAATAATTGCAATATAGAAATGTTTTTGACAATAACCTGTCCATTAGCACAAACCTTCCACCACATATGGTTTCTCAATTCAAAGCCAATGCTCAATTTGAATCAGTCAATGCCATAGTATCAAACATTACATCTCAATTACCAGGATAATTTATTTAGAATATCATATGTTCATCAAAATGTGCATACTACAAAAAAAATCATGCATAAGGAATATAAATGACAGAATAATATTGTAAAATCTTACCAAGACATGAATTGGTTGATCCTTTGATGAAAATCTGGATGCAAATGACTTGATATCATTGACAGATGAAAGATCACATACCTATAATAACAAAATGGAAACAATAATTTAAACTTAAAATGCAATAAAAAGAATATTATTACCTGGTCATCATGTTAAAGATCATTAAGTATTAGGGACAAGAAAAGTTCAGTTATATCCAAAACTATAATAACAGATCTAGGTTCCACAAAGCTCCTGAAAGAACATCCACAAGAATGAAAGGAATCAAAATACCTCCAGGTATACATTTGGGTTGCCTGTTGTTGACTGAATTTTAGATAGAGCATTTTCTCCCCTATCCTTATTACGGCATACCATATAGACAGTTGCTCCACTGAGAAGGATGAATATATGTTTATTAGAAAAATATGTTTGACAGAAGAGAATAATTTGGAATTCACATAAAAAATCAATACCGTGAAGAAAGAGCCTCAGCAGTTGCATAGCCAATCCCAGAATTTGCTCCTGTAACTATGCAGTTTTTCCCTTCTATATGTGTTTGCATATCTTCTGCTTTAAATTTTTTTGAGTGTTCCCTGGAAAATAGTTATAACACAAGAAAATACTAGATGATTAGATGATTCCCTTGATGGCATCCATTTTCAACTCAGACGTTTACTAGTCACAGAGCACGGTTACATGGATCCGCAAACAATGTAGTGGATTCACTTGCATGGCAAGGGGTCAACAGGGAAAGTTTGTATGGAATTACTAATGTAATTATTTTTGCTTTGCTGAATCAATGGGAGTTACGTAGAGAGGGCTAGCCTAACATCAATGAAATGTATTATATACATATAACATTCTTTCATATCAATGAATAAAATTGTACTGTTATCAATTGAAAAACAAAAAAATCCAGAAGCAGGATATCATTCTCAACAACTATACATGGGTAGATTCATGAACACCCCAAAGTGGAGATTTGGGAAGTGGGAACCAGCTACATAGTCATTTGTTAACAGCATGAAGGCCAAAAAGGCCATTATCCAATGTTGTCCCAGTTATCCGGGGTATTGGGAGGGATGGACTGGATATGATCCTAGCCTTTGGCATTTTTTTTCCACACAAAAGTGGCCATTCTCACACTGAACCTGTGTTCTCATGTTTGACAGCCCAAAATTTTACCATTACACCAAGTAAAGGCCCCTCAGTAACAGCAGGAAGGATAACAACAACAATAAAGCTTAGGTGAAGAACTAGAAAGGTCAATGAAGCTGTTATGCATGGCACATAAAAGAATAAAGATGTCAACAGCTCAACTAATAGTGGTCTGATTGGATCATTATTTGGCACAACACATGCTGACCATAAATGTAACAAGAGAAACTATGCCAGCTTTTTCCTTCCTTGTTCTTTTCTCTTTTGGTGTATTAACCAATTTATATTACAAAGAAGAATACAAGAGATGCCTAGAAGATAAATAAAAACCAAGGGGTAATCACAAAGCAAAGTCATCATGGCTATTAAGGAAGCTCCAAAATGATCCAAATCATTCAAACAATCAAAAGGAGTCATGCAAAATGAAGAACATGGAACCTAGACAAATAAAAAAGTAAGTAAATAGAGGCATTTAAATGTTTACACCTAGTTATTGGAGATTCCTTGGTTAATGCATCTTCAAATGTTCCATGCACCAACAATATATTGCAATAGAGAAAAACTTGGACAAGGTTATTCAACTAGATGTTTCTCTGTCTGTCCTAAAATTCGACTTTGAAGAAGATGGAATCACTTGTATTTGTTCATTAGGAGAATGATTGTGAGTTGTACTCTAACCATATATGGCAGACCACGCAACAGAAAGCCAATATGGGAATCAAAGAGAGCACCCAGTTATTTTTTGAATTCATATTAAGTTGCCTCTCCTTACCATTTCCTTCTCATCAGTTAATTGGGTAATTCAAATGTCCTTGTGATTAAAGCAAAAGTGCAGCTAGAAGAAGACATGTTGAAATGAACTTGTATGTTTTGCATGAGAATTGAGGACAAACAGGGGGCAAAAGTATTCAGGTGAATGTAATATTTGAATGAAACTAAGTCAATCCAAGGCACTTTATTTATGTGGCTTCTTATATGGTACAAATCAGGACGAGTGGAGATTCCCCATTAGTACAGTCATCCATGAAATAAGGTCTTCAGTTTGGTGTCTATGAGAGATAGAGGTGAGAACACCCCAAGCTTGAAGGATATAAGGAGAGGAGGCCGGACATGGATTCCATTCGCTATCATTCAAAACCAAACTCAATTTAGTCATTGTATTAATCCTGCATTATATCTTATATGGTCACCACATCTATCCATTAAGGGTTCCAGTTATTGAACCATAAATAGGTTGAATTCCCATTGCCTATTATGTACTTAATTTGCTGCGTAATTAGAATTCTATACTCCACTTCTCTTCCTCCATGCCAGCTATCTCATTTCTTTGCTATGTTTTTTTCTTTATAATCACAATTTTGGGTTTCTAAACCAGCCATCAAATCATTACTTCTATGCTTACATCCTTTAGTAGTCGTGTATGACGGCAAATGCTGATGGGTTGACAAATGTGGTTATTAGTAACATCAATGAAATATTCTTGGTCAAAGAAGAGTTAACCACCAAGATATAGTCCAGAAAAAATAAAAGATGAAGTGCAAACATGTATCTCCACTTAAACAATAAACAGACAGCTTTCAATTCAACAATCAATTAAGCACACGGAAGTTTACAAGTGATAAGTATGAAAAGAACAGAACAATTTCACTCCAACTCACATGAAGCCAGATTTTGTGAAGCTAAAGTATCCCCAAACACCGAAAGCCGTCGATCTCCATGCCTGCCATACCAAATGAAAACCCACTGTGGCAAATTCCGGAAACCCCAAAACTCGGAAGAGGATACAAATTTTCAGGAAATTATGAAACCAAAGGAAAGTGATTTAGAAGATAAAGACTACCTTTTGGAGAAACATAGCTAATGAACTTATGGAGATATGAACTTGAATTTGCAGACTTGCTTTGTGATGGTCTTCCAGTTTGTCAGCAGGTGATCAAACAACTCCTTATCCAGTAACTCTTACCTACTCCGAACTGTTACTCTCAGAGAGAGAGAGAGAGAGAGAGAGAGAGAGATGTACGTTGGTCTACGGAGAGTGTAGTGTCTCAGTGTTTTCCACGTAGGGGGCCGCTCTACCGCTCCCTTTCTTTGGAGAATTATTGAGTAGATAAATTACTTGTACATCCCTAAGATTTTGATCAAATGCGAAGATAATCCTTCTAATCTAACTATTTAACTAATCACCCCTTTCGGTCTGGGGTTAAGTGACTTATCACCACCAACATAAGGACCAAAAGTTAAATGATTAAGATCGGGGCAAGCTGAGGGTTTTTTTTGGTTAATATGCAAAAACCTTTTTTAAAGTTTCTGACAATCATAAAAACCTCCTCTTAACATTTAACAAAATTTCCCCTGAACTTTTAGAAAATCTACATTCAATTGATGCATTATTTTTTTTCAAAATAACCATCCTACCCTTTTAAAGGATTCTCGGCAACCCATATGCGAACTTTATGCAGAGGATGTGAGTTTGTATTCTGGACCAATTATGCTCATTGTATCATATCTGTGATATAATATAGAAAAGATAGCGTTTTTATTTTATACTTGAAAATCAGGCAATAAAAAGTCTGTTTTCTTCATCTTCGTCAGCTGAAACTTGACGAACTTTTATCTTGCTTATCGGAACGACCAAGATAATTGACTGAGATATGGTATATGAACGGATCAAAGTTGCAGGAGAACTGTGCCCAACGAACTAAAACAATTTTAGAAAGAAAGGAGAATGAGAAACCGGCTATCGGACAAAATCAATAAGAAGAAAATGACCTGCTTCACGATTACTTATAAAATCAAAGAGATGATCTCTCGGCAAATGGAAACATCGAAATCTATGGTTTTCATGTTGAGGAAGTGGTTCTGATAAGGCATGTGATCTGATTTGGTGGCAAAACGTCAGTGGAATCTCAAGATCAAGCTAGTCCATGGTTATTTTCCTTAGAATTCTCTAATTTCAAAAGTTTGGTGAGAAATGACATGTTCAGATCTACACAATTTTATTTTGTAGCCATTATTTATAGTCAGTGTTAACGTACAACTAGCTCAGCACGAGCTCGATGGACTCTGTCGACTCGAGGCCCATCTCTCTCAAGACACCAAATCTTGTGGACTCTTCTAGATAGCTACCCTATTTGGGATTATTTAGGATAATTCTAATCCTTGTGCAAGATATATATCTAACCTAGATAATGTACATCTTCCTTGTTCTTATCTCTTGTAATTCCCAATGTAATCCAAACTCTACCATTATAAATAAAGCATCAATTGGCCATAACCTACGAGGTTAGCTGAATTTTTTTTACTATCTCTTTTTATTGTCTTGTGATTATTTTATTATTTTTATTGTTTATTTGCTGTTTCAACTTGGTATCAGAGCCATGTCAATAGAAATAGGAACTCACGGTAGCAGTCTTGCACCATCCAACAGTGGGTCGACAACAAGCAGCTCGCTCCCTTCAATCCAAAACGTCACTCACTACCTACCCATCAAGCTTGGAAGTGACAACTACTTGTTATGGCGTGCCCAGTTCCTTCCTATTCTGCGACATCATCATCTCATGGACTTTGTTGAGGGGAAGAAGAAACCACCGCCTAAAGTTATTCTAAATCTAGACAGTACGGGAACAATTATCAACCCAGAATTTGAAAAATGGACAGACATAGACCAACTTGTGTTGAGCTAGTTGATCTCCTCTCTCACAAAAGGAGTTATGGCGCAAGTGGTAGGTTTGTCTACAGTAGCTGAGGTATGGACTTCACTCGCACATAGTTACTCTACTCACTCCCGTTCTAGAATACTGAAGTTTCACCGCCAACTACAAAGCCTCAAAAATGGGTATCTTTCCATTTCTACATATATTCAACGTGCTAAGTCCATTGCTGATAGCCTATTTACAATTGCTGAACCTGTTCTCAAATCAGAACTAGTATTTTACATTCTTGTTGGCCTAGGGAGTGAATATGAATCAGTAGTCACTACTCTCACCAATAGACCAGATGCAACAGATCTTGGCATTGCTGACATTATGGGAGCCCTCCTTAATCATGAAAGCTGGCTTGAAGAACTTTCACACGTCTCTAACCCTTTAAGTGCAAATTTGGCTGGTGTACCTCCCAAGAAAGGTAACTCTTAGAAGCCTCAACAATTCTCACCGAATTTTAGTAATAATAGAGGGAGGGGACGTGGTCATGGATCTCCACAGTATAATCATCAATCTTTCCCAAATTAGCCTCAACAGTTCTCTGGTGGTCGTGGAGGTAAGAGTAATATAATTTGCCAAATCTGTAATAAAGTTGGACATAGTGTTCTACAATGTCATAAAGCAAAATATGTGTTTAGTTTTGCCAATGATAACACATACAATGAGCCATCTGCCTTCCATGGAGGCGTCAGTACTCCTTAGTATTAGAACTTGTACAGTGATAGTAGTTTTGATCCCAACTGGTATCCGGACTCAGGAGCCACGCATCACATGACTCCAGACCTAGATAATCTGTAGAATTGTACTGAACATACCGAGTCAGGTTAGGTTAAGGTTAGAAATGGTCAAGGTTTGAACATCCAACACATTAGATTATTTTCTATGTTGTTTAATCAGTATGCTTTTTCTTTGAAAGATATCTGCCATGTTCCATCTATCTACAAAAACTTATTATCTATCAGTCGATTTACAAAGGACAATGATCTATTTTTTGAGTTTCACCGTGACTGTTGCTATGTGAAGGATTATTCGGAGAGAATCTTGCTTCAAGGGGTCAGTAGAGAAGGCTTATATAATTTCTCGTCTTCAGTCCAAATTACTCCAGAAGCTCTTGTTGGAGAACGAATATCTGTTCATGGATGGCATCTTTGATTTGGTCATGCAGCTATGCACATCGAACGACAGGTTATTTAGAAATTTGGTCTTTCGTTTGATAGGTCTACTATTAGTTAGTTGGTTTGTGAGTTGTGTCAGATGGGTAGGAGTCATAGGTTAACTTTGCATTCTTCTAGTTCTCAGTCCAAGCATCCTTTAGATTTAATTTTTTTTGATGTATGGGTACCTTCTCCCGTAAAGTCAAATAGTGGATTTTCTTATTATGTCATTTTTATGGATGATTTTTCCAAATTTTCTTGGATATATCCTACGGCTTGAAAATCAGATGAATTTGAATTATTTCTTAAGTTCAAGAGACATGCACAAGTTCTATTTGATGCAAAGATAAAAGCATTTCAATTTGATTGGAGTGGCAAATATCGTTCCATATCCAAGTATCTCGACTCTCAAGGCATCACACATTAACTGGCTTGCCCTCACACGCATGAGCAGAATGGCTCTGTTGAACGGAAGCACTGCCATGTGATTGAATCTGCCTTGTCTCTACTGGCCTCCTCTAATCTCCCCTTCTCCTTCTGGGCTGATGTGACTGAAACTGTAATTTTCTTGATCAATTGACTGCCAATCGCCATCCTAAATGGTATGTCCCCCTATGAGAAACTCTTTCAGACTACACCTGATTATTCTTTGCTTCGTTGTTTTGGGTGTGTTTGCTATTTTTTTTTTATTTTTTGCAGTTGTACAACAAGAACAAACTATAGTTTCGCTCCCTCAGATGTATATTCATCGGCTACAGTAGCTCTCACAAAGGGTACAAATGTCTCCATGTTCCTTCAGGGCATGTGTTTATTGCTCGCCATGTTGTATTTGATGAAAGCACATTTCCAGGAATTGATGGACCAGCTTCTAGCATCTCCACCGCTCCCTTTGGTGTTTACATTTCTGCACCCATCTCACAGAGTTCATATCCGCCACCATTACAGCAGCAGTCCTCTCCTACTCCTCCTGCGACAAGCTCCGGTTCGACTACACCCTCTCCGGAGCAGCCTTCATCTAATCAACCACAACGATACCACAACATTCAAGAGTTGTTGGATCACACCAATCCGGTTCCCCCACCTGTTTGATCCCACTCCATGCATACCAGATCTATGGATGATACTCTTCCTCGATCTCAACTTGCCACAAGGTATCCTATTCCTTCAGCACTTCTTACTCTTCTCTCTAATGAGGAACAAGAACCCAAAAATTTCATCCAAGCAGCTAAATTAGAAAATTGGCAATTAGCTATGCAAAAGGAATACCAGGCTCTAATTAAAAATGACGCATGGCGCTTAGTTCCATATGATCTTTCCATGAACATTGTCGGAACTAAGTGGATCTACAAAATAAAGAAAAAGGATGATGGCACCATTGATCGTTACAAAGCCAGGCTCGTTGCCCAAGGCTTTCATCAGGTTCTAGGACTTGATTATTTTGACACCTTCGGTCTGGTTGTCAAACTGGTAACTATACGAACAATTCTCTCTATTGCTCTCTCTCACAACTAGCCGGTGCACCAGTTGAATATAGATAATGCCTTCCTACATGGCCTTCTTGATGAAGACATTTATGTGCATCAACCCAAAGGGTTTGTCGATCCCAGTTGTCCCACTCATGTCTACAAACTGTGCAGGGCTCTTTATGGACTGAAATAGGCTCCTCGAGCATGGTATTTGCGTTTGAGCTCCGTCCTTAAACGGATGGGGTTTTGTAACTCTACGGCTGATCCATCTCTTTTTATTTTCACCTTCGACAAGACCATATCGATGCTTTTGGTATATGTTGATGACATCATTCTAACTGGCAACTCCTCTGAATCCATTAATGGCTTCCTACGTTCTCTATCTTCGGTTTTTCCACTGAAGGATTTAGGCCCTCTTCACTATTTTTTTGGCATCGAGGTAAACTGCTCCTTTGGCAGTTTGTACCTTTCTCAACAGAGATACATCCTGGACTTATTACAAAGGACCAACTTAGAAGGTGTCAAACCAGAAAGTTCGTTGATGGCTACCTCTAGTCGTCTCTCAGGATTCTGGGAATCCATTGCCTACTCCCATAGAGTAGTATCACAGCATAGTTGGAGCTCTCTAGTATGTCACAATCACTTGGCCGGATATCTCCTTCGTTGTTAATAAGGTGTGCCAGTTTCTTCACTCTCCCACTGATGAGCACTGGACAGTAGTTAAGAGGATTCTTCGCCAATTAGTTGCTTACACTGATGT